AAGTTATTATCCTGGAAGGGGCTTTTAGTATGCCCATGAATTATTTCTTCTATCACCATTAGGGAGGAATTGGCTGAAAAGTAATGGAGTTTCCATACTTGAGTTCATAATCTTTTTATAATGTCATACAGTGTTGTAACTCTTGTACTTTCTTATATGCATTTGTGTCAAACAAATCATGTGCTCTTTCTGTTTTTTGTAAGTTAGATGCTTATAGTCTTAGGGCTTGTGTATGACTATGTTTGTTAGCACAAAATTTCCTCTGTATAGTTCTAACTAATCCTTCTGGTTGATTTATATTTCCTTAGTAGTAAAGTGCGTTTTCCCTATAATGGTCAAGTGACATCGAAAGTCTTAAGACACCTTTTATCGTAAGGTTGAATTAGGGTGTCAAAAATGAACCCAAACATAGGTAACCCGCTCAATCCGTCCAAAATTTTAAGGGTTGGGCTCAAAATAATTTGAATTGAGTTCAATCTCAACCCATTCAAGCCTAATCCATTTTAAGAGAATCCTCAATTGAGCCCAATTCAATCTCCAACTTCAACTCATTTTAAAACTCTTTACTAAGATATGTTTCTATATTAAAGGTAAGAATTATAATCTATTTAACATCTTTTAGGATTTATCTATCCATTTGTTACTTTAAAAAAAAAAGAATATCTTGAGTTAAAATTCGAATTGTGAGTATAAAAGTGATTAAGTCAAATTGGGTGGGTTAAGACCCAACCCGTTTTTTAGCCCATTTGAGCCCAAAGTACACTTGGGCGGGTCAAGTCCCAATCCGATTTCAATTTCAACCCATTTTAATATCTCCAATTTCAATCCAACCCGCCCATTTGACACCCCTAGGTTGTACCATGAGGTGTGTTGGTACAAGAAATTATTGGAGGTAATGATCCTCGAGGTGCACAACAGCAAAAAGCCTCAATTCATAACTAAGTTTGGGTTGATTAATAGAATTCTCACTTCATTTAAGTCCGACTCAGTTCAATATTAAGTTGCATTTCTCTTGGAAAACAATCTATAACTACACAATCAAAAACAGCGAGGAAGGTTCTTTGCTAATGAATTCTATATTCCTTTCATTCAACAAAGAAGCATCTGTTTTACATGCATAAGTAGGAATACATCAGGGTCCAAAGCCCTATCCAAATTCAATAAAAATCAATATATTTGAGCCCTACTAATGTATTGTATCGTATCCATGATTTAAATGATGAACCTATAAGAAAAGTAAGATACCAGGTAGAGCTACTATGAAAAGGTAGGGTAAGGATAAAATGGAATAATTAAATAATAAGTAAAGGCGAAATAAGAAAAGAATATTTAGTTAATGACACAATCACAATAATCGATATTTTCATTATTGCCTAACAATGGATTAAACAACACAATATAATTATTTTACAGTAACAATCAAAACAAACATTATATTTAAAATAAAAATACAATACAATATAATGGATAACAACCATCCAAACAAAGTGTAAAGTTTAAACTTACATCAGTCTGTTTGTGCTACTAGCTTTTCCGCATTCCAGCTCTAGTGACGGCTTCTAATAACCAATCTTGAGCTGCATCTTTCCAAATTCACTGGAAACAGTGTTGGATGAAATTATTATAACCCTCACCTTTGGCTACTTTCAGCTCGTTTTGTTCTAGTCCGGAAGTCGCCTCAAGAAACACCCATCACTTGTCACTGTTGATCAAGTTATTCCAGTGTTTACTTTGCACTATCCACCCAATTGCAAGTTATTCCAGTGTTTGCTTTGCCTTATCCACCCATATTCAAGTTCCACCATAGTGAGTGCTCCAGCAGCATCTCAGATAAATTATGATCTATGCAGCAAATTCAAATTGATATGTTCCTCCATCACAGTGATTCTCAGATTCTTCAGATGTTCCTTAACGTATTCCCATAAATAGGCTGTTTCTTCATCACATACAACATCTTCCAACTTTACTAGTTTTTGCGGAGAATCGGGCAGCTTATCAATACCTAGGGAACTTCCCATGCAAAGAGTCTGTAAAGAACAGAGTTGATCCATTTCCAATGGCAAGTTGTCCATAGCCACACAATCATATACATCAAGCAATTTTAATTTATTAAGTTTTGCTATAGACTTAGGCAACTCAGCCACATTTGTGCAAGAATGAAGCCTTAGTATTTCCAAATTTGTCAATCTCCCAAGCTCTTCCGGAAGGGCAACCAGTTCGTGACAATAACAGATGCTGAGCCTTTTAAGATCAACAAGATCACATATTTCAGCTGGTACTTTTGTTAAATCGCTGCAGTACTCGATATTCATCTCAACGAGTTTTGGCCACATGTAAGGCATCTTGGCAGCAGAGTTCTCAAATGCCTCCCCAATTTCACAAATGTTCAGGGAGATTTTGCGCAAATTTGGTAGCTGCAGATTGGCTGTGAAAATGGATGTAACAGAGATGCGTTCCAGGTTGATTCTCTTAAGATTCAGCAGAGAACAAAGCTGAAAGTTATTCAAATTGGCTGGGAAGAAACCATTGTTTGTCACAATCAGTGTCTTCAATTGGCTCATCTGCTCCATAAAAAGGGGTAAGTTGTAGGTCCTTGTTTCAAAGTTCAACACAAGTACTTCAACTTTAGGAAATCGCACATCATCCCAGTTAGAGGAGAAATCTTCATCTGCAATTCGGATTCATGATGTGGTAATTAAATTGCAGAGACAAGATGAAGCAAATCTACAGAAGACATCTCAATATTTGACCGAAAAGGAGGAGAAGGGATGGATAACAAACCTGTGACAATAGACAAAACCTCTGCTTGAAGTGGTTGAAGTCTTTGTTCAAACCACCACCTAGGAAAGTCATTCCCCTTGATGTTGATATATATTCTCATTCTCTCTTCTACCGGCTTCTCATCACACTGGTGGATGACCAGTTCTCTCAGCATATCATGCTGCTGTATGTAATGCAAGTTATGTAAGCCAAGAACTGCTCGTGCATCCTGTCTGTGAATCAGCATGAACTAAGTTTAAATCAGATATTCGAGAAGGAATCTATTCAAGGATATCAGCTAAATTGATAAGTTCAACGATCCGAGACACAGAAGAAGTTGAGTATACACCAAAAAGGTGGAACCAGGATAAAATGAAGCCAGCCACTGTAATGTTCTACTGGTGGAACTCTATGAGTTACTATTATTCTTATCTCATGAAATTTACTGTAATAATTTTCTCCAAAATAATTTAGAAGGTGGAAAAGAATTTTCATGGCTTCAGCACATTAAATATTGATGCACACAAACAGATAGTCAGCAAATGTGTACATGTGACCGTCTAACTCTGTTGCTTCTTTGTTTCTCCCGGCTCAACATTTTTCGAGTTTGGTTCCACATAATATGAAGTAGCAAACACAACACAGTTGCAAGACGAAATTGAAGAGTTATACCTTGCAAGGGCGAGATTAACCAGGTTTTGTGAAGAAAGTTCAACGAAGATGGCCATTGCAGTGATGCCGTCTTCATCTAGATTGTATCGTTCCACCCACATATCCAAAAGAGCAGCAGGATGAATTCTATGATCTTCAGGAAATGATCCTAAATCAAGGTAGCAGTCTCTTAATGTAGTTGATTCTCTGCTGTAAAGAGCTTTTTCATCCAAGGCATCAGGGCTGCTATCTTTAAAAGCTGAAATGCAGCAGAGATCCTTTGCATCCTCCTCGCTCAAAAGATTTAATTTATATGTATCAAATTTTGGGAACACAAGACTGCATCATTACTCTGTTAACCCATGTCACCTCAAACTCGCCACACAATGAACGGCCTACAACTCTAAGAGCCAGTGGAAAACCGCCACAACTTCTCACCACCTGCCATTGCATGCCATCATTTAGATCCACAAAGCAGAGAAATTTATAAAATTATACGAATTTGCGAACTGTATTATTTTAGAAAAGATGCATTTTCACTCTCTAACGTTTCTAGGACATGCACAATAGAGTCTTACATATACATTTCACATGTATTCATAACTAAAGAATTAGTCAAAAGACCTTTGTAAACGAAGATAGCCTTTTACCTTATGAACAAGATCAAGTCGCACATTAGGTCTGCCATCTTTAAAAGCTGAAATGCAGAAGAGATCCTTTGCATCCTCCTCGCTCAAAAGATTTAATTTATATGTATCAAATTTTGGGAACACAGATCTCGAAGTGACCAAAATCTTAAAATCAGGTATCTGAAATTTAAGATGATCGATGACGAACTCTGATTCAGACCAAACATCATCCAGTACCAGTAATATTGGTTGAGTAATTCCCCCAAGGAAGTTATTGAGTCGGCAGATTGCAACATGCTCAGTAGCGAACTCTGGGACCCTGCAGCCTTTCTTCTCAAAGATTTCCCCAACAATGCGTTTGATGTTTGGTGTTTTGGTAACAGTGACAAAAATGATGTTGTCCCTGTATATGGCTATTAAGAGACAATTAGATCAAATATGCTGAAAATCAGCAAGAAGCTTAATATAACATAAGAACATGATACAGCATTAATATCAATTAGTCTTGCCATAATTTCAATAATCTGCATAGCCAATAAGTGGAATCGCAAAAAAAAGATTTTTTTATATTTCTCCTTTTATGGGGTCAGCAAGCTAGTCTTTAGGTATGAAGGGCTTTCTTCCACACACATCAGAAGCAACCCAGAACGCAATTTATGTTTTCGTTGCCTAACAAGAAAACACAACCTTATGTTGGTGTGAAGTATTTTTGGTTCCTATCATAAGACTAAAACACATACATCAAAATTCAACTGATAAACAGACATAGTAAGAATCGATAAAGTCAAAAGGAAATTAATCCAGGCAGCGTTTAAGTTCATGTGATTCGAAGACAAACAAGAGAATTAGCTAACTGAAGTTACAAAGGCATGCTTCTTACAAACTAGAAAGGACTAATTTAACAGCAATAACAGTGTAAGATACTAACATTTAACATGGCAAACAATAAATAAACAATACCTTTGATATCATCCTCTTGACAAAGCTTTGCTGCCAAAGTAGTTTTTCCACAGCCAGGAGGAGCAGAAAGAACCAGCACTTAGTAATTCCCCCAAGGAAGTTATTGAGTCGGCAGATTGCAACATGCTCAGTAGCGAACTCTGGGACCCTGCAGCCTTTCTTCTCAAAGATTTCCCCAACAATGCGTTTGATGTTTGGTGTTTTGGTAACAGTGACAAAAATGATGTTGTCCCTGTATATGGCTATTAAGAGACAATTAGATCAAATATGCTGAAAATCAGCAAGAAGCTTAATATAACATAAGAACATGATACAGCATTAATATCAATTAGTCTTGCCATAATTTCAATAATCTGCATAGCCAATAAGTGGAATCGCAAAAAGAGAATATACTATATTTCTCCTTTTATGGGGTCAGCAAGCTAGTCTTTAGGTATGAAGGGCTTTCTTCCACACACATCAGAAGCAACCCAGAACGCAATTTATGTTTTCGTTGCCTAACAAGAAAACACAACCTTATGTTGGTGTGAAGTATTTTTGGTTCCTATCATAAGACTAAAACACATACATCAAAATTCAACTGATAAACAGACATAGTAAGAATCGATAAAGTCAAAAGGAAATTAATCCAGGCAGCGTTTAAGTTCATGTGATTCGAAGACAAACAAGAGAATTAGCTAACTGAAGTTACAAAGGCATGCTTCTTACAAACTAGAAAGGACTAATTTAACAGCAATAACAGTGTAAGATACTAACATTTAACATGGCAAACAATAAATAAACAATACCTTTGATATCATCCTCTTGACAAAGCTTTGCTGCCAAAGTAGTTTTTCCACAGCCAGGAGGAGCAGAAAGAACCAGCACTTTATCTTTCTCCTGAAGCAGCTTCAATTTCTGTTTCAATTCATGAAGTGGGACTTCAAATCCAACCATAGAATCAGAAACTTGAGGCACATCAGACAATCCTGAAAACCCAAAACTAGAACCATTCATCCATCCAGAAGAACCACTAGAATTTGTAAATCCAATACTACTCCCGGATCTCGTCAATGAAACATTCCTCACCATCGAGTGAATCTCCTCCAATATCTTGCCATTTTCGTTAACCTTAACCAGAATCTGTTTAGTATCCCTAACCACCTGAATTAAACCGTGTATCTGGCAGAACTTCACTAGTGAATTATCCAACTTCGTCAGTTTCCTGGAGTAACTCCACTTCTTCAAAGGGTCGTAGCGTTTAATCTTGGAACACTTGAGGACTAGCTCTTCACCTTTCATCAACTGCGTCTTAAACATGTCTATTTCTTCATCTCGGCCGTCTAGGACCTTGCTTAGCCTCTTAATGTCATCGAATACTGGTTTGATGTAGATTAATGTCTCTTTCAAGCTGAGGAATTTGGAACGGAAAGTGGCGATGTGTATACCAACATCAATAACTGATTTGAGGAGTAGTTCGAAGACTGGACCCAAAGCAGCTCCTCCCAAGAGAGCTGCTGCCATTGCTACGTAACACTGCAAAATGGATTATTTTGGGGAAAGTCTTGGTGAAGCGAGTGAAGTATAGCAGTAGGTCGTCTTGTAGATATTAAGGCATTTTGGAAAAGAGATGGCAATTGGTCGGAAGTTCCCACTCAATTGACTTTTGAGGTCGTCGAGTACAAATCTTCCTTCTTTTTCCATTTGCTCCCTTGAGTTTCCTCGATGTGTAAATGATACTCCATCCATTTCAATTTAGCTATTTTTACTTTACTTCTTAAATTTTTTCAAAAAAAATATTTATTTTTATATTTAGTAAATTGAAAAGAAAAAAATAAGTCAGTAAATTGAAAGTGATGAAATAATTAATAACCTCAGAATTGGAGTATAAGAATTTGTACCAAACCACTTAATCTTTTTCCTAAAGCATAAGGGACCAAAAGCAATTTAAACCATTAAACCAATATAGAAAGTGATTTGACACGTTATTTAACACTCCCTCCCTCTATTCTATTCTATGTTAAGTAATAAATAAATTGACGCGGCAATACACCCTTATTAAGAAAATTATTCAAAACATAACTTACATCATATTTTTTGCTAATGTCCTTTTGTTAAATTATTATTATTATAAATATAAGTGGTAAATAATGTTATTTATCTCCTAAAACATATAAAACTTAATTAATAAAAAGGGCAAATATGAAACTTATTTTGAACAATAATAAAAATATCAAAAATTCACAGAAAAATTAAGACTTGCTAAATTTACGCGATATCCAATTAGATTAACTCTGATGATTGGCAACAATGCGGAAGAGCTACCATTGCGTCACGGATCCACCATGTAGACAATTGTTTATTATTACACTTACCATTACCACAAAGTGGAGGATTATACTGGTGTAGTATCAAATTTACTTGTGCAAATTCTACTACTTCCTATCCTATTTAATAAGTGTGAGTCCTCAATACTACCAAATTATTGTGTCTTTGACAACATTACCCTTCACTTCTATTAATATTTCTTTCTTTTTCTTCTATTAATATTTCTTTCTTTTATATAATATTTTCTATTTCTACTTTCTATTTCTTTCTATTATATTCTATTTTCTATTCTACTTCTATCTATTTTATTATTTATTTTTTACTTACTATATATCATCATCATACTTCGTACTATCATACTATATAGGTGGTGGTTTCCTTCGATCATACTATATAAGTGGTGGTTCCCTTGGACTACCAACTTACTATATATCATCATCACACTTCATACTATATATATATATATTCATCATACCATATAAGTAGTGGTTCCCTTGGACTACCAACTTACTATATATCATCATCATACTTCATATTATCATCATCAGTGGTGGTTCCTCAACTACTACCAAACCAATCAAAAATTGTCACGTGGGGCTAATTAATATTTCTTTCTTTTAACTCTTTTTTTTTGCTCTCAAATACTATCAAACCAATCAAAAATGGCCACGTAGGGCTAATTAATATTTCTTTCTTCATCATCATCATCATACTATATAAGTGGTGGTTCCCTTCGACTACCAAGGGTATTCCCATCATTTCCTTCCTTAAAAGAGCTTCTATCATACTATATAAGTCGTGGTTCCCTTGGACTACCAACTTACTATATATCATCATCACACTTCATACTATATATATATATATTCATCATACCATATAAGTAGTGGTTCCCTTGGACTACCAACTTACTATATATCATCATCACACTTCATACTATATATATATATATTCATCATACCATATAAGTAGTGGTTCCCTTGGACTACCAACTTACTATATATCATCATCACACTTCATACTATATATATATATATTCATCATACCATATAAGTAGTGGTTCCCTTGGACTACCAACTTACTATATATCATCATCATACTTCGTACTATCATACTATATAGGTGGTGGTTTACTTCGATCATACTATATAAGTGGTGGTTCCCTTCGACTACCAAGGGTATTCCCATCATTTCCTTCCTTAAAAGAGCT